TATAACGCTGTTTGCCTTTATCCTAAGTGAATTTGGATTGTTTTTATGATTCTCTGCTTTTCATTTTCTCTGCCTCATCCTTTTACTTACTGACAGTTCTTTGTTGTTGTTGTTGTAATCAGTGTGTGCTCATGGTTATTTTTCAGGAAACTCTTTAAGTGAGGGCTGTGAATGGTTAAATTCTCCTAGACAGCTAAGTGCATGGGTGCATGGTCTTTGTGACTGTCATTTGCTGTCATTGAGGCCCTTTCCTTCCCTCATTATTTCTAAATCTGTAACATGGCGAGATTGTCAGAAGAGTAACAACTGAGTATGTGCTTTGTAAGTAATACCAGCTTTCATATGTATTAATCATTATATTTATAATTTTCACTCAAGAATTATTAGTCTTACTAAGATACATCTTATATTAGTCATCAACTTAAATAAACATCATGGTTCTTAATTAATTCAGATTTTCAAAGCCTGGCTATGAACTTCAGACTCAATATAGAATATGCATTGATGTTACCATACTACAGAGGGATATGCATCCTCACTTATCAACTTTTTAAAAAAAAATTTAAGGGTCACCATTCCATTGTAGCATGATGGTATGAAAACTTCAAATTCTAACTCAATCCTTTTCACTAAACTTGGCATATTGACAGTCAGTTTTACTCTATTCTTTCCACATCAGCAGAAAAACAAGAAGAGAAGGTGAAAAATAATGCTTTTTTTCATTCATGAGGACAATAAAATAAAAAATAGGTAGCTATGTTTATGCAACAAAAAAATTTAGTAAAATACACTAAATTTGATATTTTAAAATTCCTGTCATAATTTGCTTAGAATATTAATCCATACTTGCTTGTGATCTTTGAAAATAAGAACATTTGTAAAAACTTGAAAGGTGTCACAGTAACAGCTATTCATAAACTCTTCAATGTCCTGAGATACAACAAGGGAAAATCTTACTCCACAGGGTTAACACAAAATAAAACACTCATTTTGGTCATCTTATGAATGAATGCCAGTTTATATATGTCAAAAAATCAGTTTTACTTAAAAGGTCGTCCCAACTTTAAAAAAAGTATTAGAATAAAGAAAGACAGACTATACCATATTAACTTGGCTGAATTAAATCTTTTTTCCACATAGAAAAGTCTATTTCTACCTTATACTGATTTTCATTGTACCTAGAATAATGACCAATCTCATGAAGCAATTCAAGTATAAAATAATTAATTCTAATAAAATAATATGATTAGGAAATAAACATATTTCTTATCGAAGAAAATAGGTGATTTAAAATCTTGGTTACTCACAGTTATATCAAAAAAGACCAAAATAGGTCTGTAACTGATAGTCAGCTGACCTGATCACATATGGCCCTTCCATCTCAGTACTTTTTTTTTTAAGAGATGGGGTCTTGTTCTGTTGTCCAGGCTTGAGTGCAGCGACACAATTATGGCTCACTGCAGCCTTGACCTCTTAGGCACAAGCAATCCTCTCACCTTGGCCTCCTCTGAGACCACAGGCACAAACTACCAAGCCCAACTAATTTTCTTTTCATTTTTTATAGAGGCAAAGTCTCACTATGTTGTGCAGGCTGGTCTTGAACTCCTGGCCTCAAGCAATCCTCCCACTTCGGCCTCCCAAAATGCTAGGATAACAGGTGTGAACCATTGGGTTCAGCCTCTTTTGTATTTAATGCTGATTCTCAATACTGCCTGGCCAATTTAAAGAGTTACTTTCTTTCAAGGTATTTCTTAAACACTTCCATGATCATCCAAAAGATGGCTTATGCAAAGTGCACACCAGGTCTTAGGATTGGAATTCACAATTGTCTAATTCTCTATGAATTTAGTCTGTAACTTTATGAGTCTCATCACTTTCTGCTTATGCTCCAGCTCTGAAAAAAAAATTATATCCCATTCTTTAATTAAATCTTCCACCAGCTTTGTTATAGAACTGTGATAGATTTTAGCTAGCAACTTGATAAAAAGATATCTGCAAGGACTTGAACTCTACAGTTGAGAGGAATTTGAACTTAATATGGTTATATATTTTATAAGTACCCTGTGAGTAAAAATAATATTACCTAAAACCTAATAAATATTATACTGAAAATAGTGGATGGCTGGGTGTGGTGGCTCACGTCTGTAATCCCAACACTTTGGGAGGCTGAGACAGGTGGATCACTTGAGTTAGGAGTTCAAGACAAGCCTGGCCAACATGGTAAAACCCCACCTCTACTAAAAATACAAAAATTAGCTGGGCATGGTGGCATGCTCCTGTAATCCCAGCTACTCTGGAGACTAAGGCAAAAGAATCACTTGAACCCTGGGAGGTGGAGGTTGCAGTGAGTGATATCTCGCCACTACACTCCAGTATAGATAACAGAGTGAGACTCAGTCTCAAAAAAAAAAAAAGGAAGTAGTGGACATTAACCCCAGTTAATTTATACAAGTTGATGAGTCTATCCTTTAATCACAACAGAATTATAAAAAAATTCTGGAAGAGAAAAATGTTTGGATTCCTTAGTAGCTGTCTCTAAGAAGAAAGGAGAAAAGTAAAATATTATTAATGAGAAAATAAACACTTACTGGTACTTTGAAGGGTGAGGTATTTGCAGTGTCCATGGAGTTGGGTTTCTCTGATGTACTGGTCCCTGAGATACTCCGTCTACGAGGGGACCTTTCTGCTGGTACCTCTGGAAAAAAGGAGGAAGGCTGAAACATCATTAAGAACCCCAAATTTAGGATATTCCACTAAACTGTAAAGTTACTGGTTTTTCACAATAAATCAGCATGCTTTAAAGGTACATTACTTTCTATCTCACATATTTATCTCTCTTTGAGGTGCTTAAACTATCAAGAAACTAGAGAGACTTGGGCACAGTTAAGAATCTGCTTTAGTGTGACAGTTTATATCTTCATCTGTGTATATATAAAAATAATTTCCTCTGAGCTATGTTTAATATCTTTAAGTTCACTTAATAGTTGCATCTCACAGTATATAAATCTACTTCTCTATGTGTCAGCAATGTAGGAGTTAATAGAATAAAATGGAATTTCTAATATTCTTTTGAACAAAATATAGTCTAATGTTGCACATGATTTGATGGTGTATTTGCACAAAGGTGAAAGTTAGTTCTGTGCAGAGAAGATGATTCACCAGACTACAACAAAAGGGGCATGAGAAGACTGAAAGCTGCTGCCAAGATAAAATAACATATATGCCTATGCAGATATAAAAATAGATCAGCTTCTCCTTGTTCTGACAATATGACCTTACTAAGATCTTACTCTGGAATCCTAAATCTGTTCAAACTGACCTAACAAGCTTAGGATTTTGCAGATAATGTGATCTTCTCCCATTTAATTACTATATATTGTATTAAGGCTGCATTTTAAAGATTTTTTTCATAGAGTGAAAAAAATCATATATATGCATATGCATACACAGGCACACACAGATGATAGATATATACGTATTATACCTTTATCACAACTGCTTCCCATCGCCACTTCAACTGACAGACATAAAGGAATCCAGCTTCTCAGATAACATTAGATAATCTCAACATGGACAAGGAAAAAAAAGCCACATCCTAAAAAAAGTATTCTGTGTTATCTTCCAGATCTTAGAAAATAAGGAGTAAATCGTAACTCCGAAGACTGACATTTTGATTCCTGCTGTTCTTCCTTTAAAAGATAGATGCAGTTTAAACTTCCATTTCTGGCCTCCTGGCCCCTGGGATCCGTGCTACTTCCACTTAAGAGAGTGCGTTTTTTCTCTCGCTCCCTCTCTGTGTCTTGCTCTTCCCCCTCCCTCTCTACAGCTTGCAGAGAGAGCAAGCAAGAAAGAAACACACAGGACTGCAGCTATTCAATCAATCGTTCTGACTGCACATCCTCATTAGTTACTTTCAGGCTATTAACAGACGCCCAACCACTGCCTTCCCTCAGTTACAGAAAATTTCACTGTATTACACTAATCTGCAGCAAGAAAAAACATTTACTGAAATGTATATTCGGCTAGTGCCAAAAGGACACCATTTTACACAGACCCAGTAATACACACAAATCAATTCCTCCTATGAAAATACAATTGGAAGTGCTTACCCTTTTACTATCTTTGCATGCTGGACACTGATTTTCTTTTCCATGACTAAACATACCTTCTCTGTGATATCTTGACTGGTAAGGCATAAGCCAAATTGGAACATTCCTAAAGACTGAGAGGCTGACAACCTAACATCTTACATGCTTGCAGTGTATGAGAGTTCCACACTACTACTATATTTTAAAATTATGATCAATAACTGTAAGTCCCTTAACTTCTTCTCTCTAGTTACATGAACCTAAATGTACAAAGCCGTTTTCAGAATTAGGCACATATGACTTCTAATGCACATATCTGAAAAATGGCAGCATAATTAGGTCAGATTCCTGGGAATGGCACAAAGCAGTGAATTTAAGTAAATCAGCTTGTATGAGCACATTGAACAGCAAGACTTTCAGACTTCCAGAATATGACTTTAGAGAGTAATTATACAAGTTAGGTGATCTATGTGGCTAGGGCAAAGGCAGGCAGAGAATGGGTCTGGTGAAGGTAGAAAAAAAAATCTCATCTTTCCTCTAATAATTACCTATAAAGGTAACCTCATAACAAATTAGAAGATACTAGAGATTTAATATTATAATATAGCATGTTTTAATTTCTGAATAATTAACAGAGAAACCAAATTGGAAGAAAAATATGTTTCATTAGCCAGAATAAAATTATCTAGTAAAACATTTCCTTAATTTGCAATGTCCTGGCTAAGGAAAAAAACTGAAATTCATTTCCTCACTTTTTTCCAAACATCCAATTTTAGTTTTCAGGCATATAAATTCATTAAATGAATATGTTTCAATGCTTTTAACTATTTGATACTATATTGACTAAAATGAGTGACCACATTTCAAAATCTAATAAATATTATATTGTTATACTTCTGTTTATCTTTTTAGATTCTCTTTCTGTATCATGGGGAAAAAAATACAACACTGATGTAGCTTATAGAATGTAATACTGGGTCCAGAAAGAAGATATTAAATCATTCTTGAAATCCAAACAATTTCCACTAAAGAGGGGAAAGAAAGGAAATAAGGTAAGCTAAATCAACCAATGAAAAAAGTTTACACTTCATCACTCTCTCAATCCCCACAATAATACAACTCATCTGCTAGTATAAATAGGCCTTTGGAGTATCCCAGTTCTTCAGTTCTCAGAAGATTCATAACTACTTCAAAGGATACAGAAAAATAAATACCCCAAGTACCAATGTCCACTTAGAAGCAGGGTAGCAGCATTAGCAAGAGCAGAATGAGCAACCTGTTAGTCACAGGAAGGACTGTATATTAAACTCGTGCCTTTAACTTTAAATCTGTAAGAAGAAAGGAAAGCTGCTACTATGCTCTAAGAGCTACATTTCTGCTCTGTTTGAGGGAAAATCTATACTAGTTCCAGTATACCAAAATTAGACAGCTGTATCTCTACCCCCACTCATGCTGCATACTATTGCATTATTTTCACCTGCTGTAAAATTAATGTTCTTTTCATAGTTATAATATTTAATTGCAGTCATTTAAAAATATGCTCCTTAAGACTGATGAGACAAGAGAGAGACAATATTGTTTCAGTAGATAAAGGCCTGAAACTGCCTCATTCACTTTCTCATCTCTAAAAATATTTTTCATCTTCAGATTGAAAAGCAAAAAGAGTTATAAAAAGCCGGGTTAAGTTTTAAATTTATCTCTTCATTTCCTTTGTCATTGGATATGACCTGAGATGATGTGATGACTTACAATGATGAGAGATAACCTCCAACAGAGCTCCATATAGAATGATATATTGAACAAAGAGAACATCTGGATATTTTTCTCAGCAGCTCTACCAATGACATGTATGATTCTGTGTAAGTCATCTCACCTTTTCTGTCCTGACCTGGTCTTCACCATTTAATAAACTGGGTTATTCAGATCAAACAGAGATAAAGACAAGATTAATGAGTTTATATGCTTTAATACAAAATTAGCGTTCTGGAATGAAGAATCCTTTTCAATTCAAAATAGAGTAGTAGTATTTCCTCAATACACACGTTTTCCTCTTTGTCAGTGTGCTTTGGAAAGTGTGGCAAAGAAGCTGAAAATTGGATAATTATAGGGGCAAATGTACTTTTGGTGGAGGATGTTCCTGTTCAACAAACAGAAGTCAACTTCTGCCTTAGAACCAAATAGTGTATACACTGCCTTTGGTTCACTTATCAGGGAGTAAATGCCAGAAATTCCTATCATGTATTTGGGAAGACCCTAAGGAGTAAGTTAGAAGGTGACAAGTTTTTTGCGGGAAATAAAAAGTAGGGAGATGAAGAGGTATAGTAATTTTAAATAGGTAGTTGCATTGCAAAAGTGAGGCGGGAGTCAATACTTAAGAAGGTAAGGAAGTTAGCTCTGCAGGTTTATCAGGGAAGAAGACTACCGGTAAAGGGAAGCTAGTACAAAGCTTCTAAGGTAAAGTGCAGCAAAGAGGGCAGTGAGATTGGTGCCAGAGAGTGGAAACAAATAGTAGGAGATAAAGTCTGAGAGGAATTGGGGTAGACGTGCTCAGATAATACTGGCCAATATAAGGGCACTGACAGAAGAAAATGTGTATCCTAAGGAAATGACATTATAAATACTATTACATTTTAGATTCAAAAAGCCCCTTTCTTTCAAAAAGCTAATTTGCACCAAAACTCATTAATCTTTCTTGTAAGGACTTTTTTCTTTTTTACTCTAAAATGAAAAACCACCTGGTCAGACATGCATCACCAAAAGATATAAATCATATTCAAAGTCCATAAACACTTACTAGTATTTCTCAATTCTTTTCTCTTCTTCTTCTTTTTTTTTTTTAGACAGTTGCCCAGACTGGAGTGCAGTAGTGCAATCTGGGGTCACTACAACCTCCACCTCTGGGGTTCAAGTGATCCTCCCACCTCAGCCTCCACTGGAACTATAAGTGTGTGCCACCATGCCAATTTCTAGACAGGGGTTTCACCATCTTACCCAGGCTAGTCTCCACCCAGGCTATCAAAGTGTTTATCATATTAACTGAGGGACAGGTTACAAAAGCCTCTGAAAATATCTTAAATGAGAAAGGTATCTGCTATACAATATCATTACTGTATGATCAATACCTATACATTTACTTTTTGTTCAGTCTCATTTAACCGAAGTTCATATGCCACATGGTATTTGCATTTACTTAACTAATATATATAAATTTCTTATAATGTCTACCATTTTTTAGAATTAGTTACTACAGTGTAAAAAAATAAAAAAACAGGTAAAGATAATAATTTTTAAGTTTTTTTAAAAGAAAGTGATATACTATAAAAGCAATTTAAGCACCTCTTTATGAATTTGTCTAGGGAAAATATTTTTATTATAATTTTAGCTTGTTTTTTTTTGGAGACACAGTCTCACTCTGTCTCCCAGGCTGGAGTGCAGTGGTGCAATCTCAGCTCATATGCAGCCTGTATCTCCCAGGCTCAAACAATCCTCTCACCTCAGCCTGCTGAGTAGCTGGGAGCACAGGTGCGTGCCACCATACCCAGCTAATTTTAGCTCATGCTGAGAATTTATGTGCTAAGTATTGGGTCTAGTATCTACCTTACTTAATCTTTGCTGTAGACCCTGAGATAGTAACAATTATTAGGCTCTATGATAAGGATGAAGGCAAAATTTAAAAGGGAATAAATAAAGTAAGTCCAGAAAATTCAGCAGAAAAGGTAAATAAAATGCAGAAAGATATTTATAGCTTTAATTTGGTGAACAATTATGTAGGAAACTAAAATAACATAGTAAAATTCTCAAGTTATAATAGACCAGAGAAATACTACACGTCACAGATGCAGTTTCTTTGGCATATACAGGATGTCTAAGCACTTCACATTAATGGCAACCCAAACCAATTCCTAGTAATTTTTTGCACAGAATTATAAAACATGAATAAATGTAAAGTACTCTGACAATTATAATTATTCACATACCCTTTTAATATTTTTGATATTTGTGGGTAGGAAACAAGTTTCTAATGTTATTCTCATAAAGCGGATTCTTCAGTTTACTTCAAAAGCCTTTTTAAAAATCAAAATTTCAACAAAGCATGATAAAACATTGAATACAAACCAAACTGTGTTTGTGTACCCATTCAAGTCACTGAAATTTTGGCATATATAGTGTTGCTGTGAATGAGTACACTTCACTATAATCTGTTTTCCCTTGCATTATGTAAATAATGACAACATTAAATAGGATGCGGTATGTCAGTGGCTCAAGTTATTAATGAATGAGATAAGCAAATAACTTCTCTCTCCATGCTGTGAATTCTGAATTAGGAAGAGTCTTGTTCCATGGGATGCACAGAAGACATTTAAGAAACAGAATAAGAAGGATGAAATAGTAGGAGGAAATGGGTTTGTAGCTCTTTAGTAAAGAGAGGCTTTAATAACAAATGGCAGTGTGAAAGAAAAAAGGCTTTCATGAAAATGAGGTTTCATATCTTTTGCTGGAGGACTCCTAAGGGTAATGGGAACTTAAAAAAAAGAGTTAGAAAAATATTATAAAGTAAAAGGGACAAGACCAAAGAGAAGAACATCACATACTGCATTTATATGGCTGGTAACACTATAGCACCTGCGTGTTTTTATAAACTTCATCCACCATTTTCAGTAGGATACTTTCTGCTGTATCCCATTTTTACTGCCTTAAAGCCTATGCACTGTCAGCTACGAGCATTCAGCTGCTCTGCAATACAAATCCCCAGAGCCACTTTAATTCACCCAATTTGTATCACTCAGACAGCAGTACTTCACTCAAACAAGCAGTCCTTTCAAGTTTGCATGCCCCACGCACTCCAATATGTACAAATTAGTGCTAAGTACACAAATGTGGTAAATTCTTACTAAGTAAAGCCATCCGGTCTCCCCTCTCCATTTCCTTGCTTCAGTAAATTTATTATTGTTATTTTAAAATATTTCTTCTTGTTAACATAATAGAAAAACAATTTTTTTCCCTGGCCAAGGAATCTGAACACCACTCACAAGTATTCCATTTCTTCAACTTAGGGCTTCACATGCTAATGTCAGACGAGACAGTAGAAAATATTTTTAGTGCAAACAACACTCTCAACTGAAAAGGCCAAGAATATAGCTCAGGGATGTTTATGTGTTTTCTTAAGTTTCAGATAGAAAACATATGTCTAGTTCTTAGTGACGACAACTGGGCATCTTAATGATGATGATAAAAACATAACAATGACAAATTCAACATCAAAGTATCATGTTTGGTGCAAAAGTCATTGTGGCTTTTGTAACGTAAAAAGTGCAAAACCACAATTACTTTTGCATCAACCTATTATTATGCCTTATTATTTGCTATACGTTTTATATATATTATCTCTTTAAGCCTCAAAACAATCCTTTGGAGGTGGAACTATCAACCTTATCTTACACATAAACAAGAAGATGTTCTATTATTCTGCCCATGTTTGCACAGCAGGTAAAAAGGGTGGGAACAGGATTAGAACTCATGAAGTTTGCCTTTAGAGACTGCTTTTAATCACCAAGCATTCTATCCTGTTCTCCATGTGTTTTGCACAATGGAATATACAGTTGTATAATCCACTGTGGAAAATAATCTCTTTTAATCTATGGATAGGGTCTAACACATTTATCTAAACTTTTTCTGTAACTGATTCAATAATGTATACTTATTATTAATATGTTTCATATATAACTTTTTCTGTAACTGATTTAGTAATATATTCTCATTGTTAATATGCTTCATATATAATTGGGGGTACAATCATAGATTTATTAATACCATCATTTTGGTATTCAGTGAACATTAAAAAAAAAATTAGTCTTTGATTATGCCGAGTCTCTGTTTGGGTTTTATTTCCCAAACAAATATTGATAAAAAAATTAAAAAGAGAAAACATACAAATATGTAAACCTGATATAAATATGAAAACTTAATCATTTACTTAGAACTAAATATGCACATGACACTGTACAAAAACAAAATAATTTACACTCAACATCACCAATTAGTGAAAGTAAAAAAGGAAGGCGCCTACAATGTTGATTTGACCCCTTTAGCCCACAAACACTGCTAAGTGTTTCTTCAAAATATCTGTTGGCTTCATTTTGCCTTGTTTATTTTCACTACCATCCATCATCCTAATCTAGGGCTTTTCATCTTCTCATGCAGATTATGGCAGGAACCTTCTAACTACTCTTACTGACTCCAGTCTCTCTCTGCTTAAAGCTATCCTACTCATCATTATCAGATTGATCTCCCTAAAACATTACTTTCTGGATGAAATTTCCTTCCTAGAGATCTTCAGAAAGTCAGGCATTAGAAAAAAAATCATCCGGCTCTACTTTGCATATTTAGTTGTTTCTGCCAACAATTTTCAACAATTTGCCTCAGTGAGATAGATGATCTCTAATCTCAAACTGGCCACATTCATTCTCCCATGTCTGCCTTTGCTAATGGTTTTCACCTACGTATCTGCCAACTCTTAGATGATGACCTTCAATATCAACTTCAATTCATCTACTTCCATAAAACCATACCTAATTACTCACATTTCTTTGATTTCAAATTAATAAATTTATATAAGTTCATATTATTTGATTATACATTTTCCAGTTTTGGGTACCAAACTAAACTATATTCCTGACTAATACTGATACTAGTGTTCCATAACCGAGGTCTTATGTTGCTGCAAGATTTGAATCAACTTATGATTGTGTCTAAATTTTAAGACAAAACAAATGTTAACAGGTTGAATTCTCTCAGTTTTAAGTATTTCTCTCACAATGTTTTTCCAATTTTAGTATATGTGCTGCTGAGGCAAGCACCACAATGTTTTTATAAACCATTTGCACCCATTCTTGCTTGTCTGCAGGGTGCAGACAATTTTCTGGTTACTTTTAACTCACACATGCAATTAAACTCTGCCATCTGGTTGAGTTTAAGACCACTCTCCTTTGTATATGTTATGTATATTAAATTGATAGTTTTTCTTTTAATTTTTTTTCTTTTTCTTTTGATTTTTCTATTAGTAACATGACTATCACAGAAAAATTGAGATTCTGATAAAAAGAAGTTTTGAGGTTTTTCCTTCTATGCATCATTCTACTTAAAAAGGTCACAGGCCAGACACAGTGGCTCATGCCTGTAATCCTAGCACTCTGGGAGGCCAAGGTGGGTGGATCACCTGAGGTCAAGAGTTTGAGACCAGCCTGTCCAACATGGTGAAACCCCGTCTCTACTAAAAATACACAGATTGGCTGGGCATGGTGGCACATGCCTGTAATCCCAACTGCTTGGGAGGCTGAGACAGGAGAATTGCTTTAACCTGGGAGGTGGAGGTTGCAGTGAGCCAAGAGCCAAGATCACGTCACTGCACTCCAGCCTAGGCATCAGAGCAAGACTCTGTCTCAAAAAAAAAAAAAAAAAAACTATTCTCTAAATAATGATGGGGCTAAGTTATACCCAAAGCTTACTTTACAAAATATTTCCTCAGTACTTTGCAGAAAACACCAAACAAAAATGGCATTTTAAAAGAGGTGTATTTTTTCTTTTAGAATGTAAGCTCCTCAAGAGCAGGGACAATGTTTTCTGTATGTTCTATTGTGCCTAGTACACTGCAAATGCTCAATAAATATTGATGGGAAAAAAAAAACTGAAAAAGAAAAAAAAAGTCACAAATTGGCTGGGCCTGGTGACTCACTCCTATAATCCCAGCACTTTGGCAGGCTGAGGTGGGGACATCATTTGAGTTCAGGAATTTGAGACCAGCCTGGGTAATACGGTGAGAAACCCTATCTCTACAATAAATACAAACATTAGCTAGGCATGGTGGCCTGTGCCTGCACCTGTAGTCCCAGCTACTGCCGGTAGGAAATGCTGAGGTTGGCGGGCAGGGCTTGAGTGACAGTGAAATCCTGTCTCAAAAAAAAAGTCACAAATTTCCAAATTTTATTTCAAAGTACACTTAAACATAACTATATTTAAGTCTTGATATCTTATTCATTTTCGTTTTCTTTAGATATCTTTTCAGCTTAATTTCCTTTAGTTTTTAAATTATACATCCCCATAAGGAAAATTTTTGCAAGAACATCTTCTGTTCTAGACTTCTTCTGTTCTAAGGAAATCCCCTAAACAAAGGATGTAAAACTATAAAGGAACTCTAAAGGAACCATGTCCGCCTGTGAGACTAAATATAGAGTCAACAGCCATACTTAGGTATTTTTTGCTTTTAAATTTAGATACCAGAATGCTAATTTATTTACTTGCTATGAAAAACTGAATTATCAGTGTTTGAAAATAGTAACCCAAGTGTGCGCTGACATTATTTTTCTAAAGTCAAGCTGTATGAGAAATTAAACCATAATCAGTGGCAGATTTTAAACCACTGATTCCATTTTTCTTTTCTTTTCTTTTTTTTTTTTTTTTTGAGACAGGGCATCACTCTGTCACTCCAGCTGGAGAGTGCAATGGTAGGATGACAGCTCATTGCCTCAGACTCCTGGTCTCAAGTGATTCTCCCAACTCAGCCTCCCAAGTAGCTGGGACTACAGGTATGCTCCACTGTGTCTAGCCTTTATTTATTTAATGGTGCAGATCACAGGCCTAATTACATTTTTATCGCTTCTACAGTTTTAACAAGTTACATTTTTCTTACAATGTCCACTTGTCTAAATTTCCAAATATACAATCAAAAAGTTTTTTGTAATAGCCTATTTTTCAGTTATCTAATTTTCTATAGTTATACCCTTTTTCATTTCTAACATTGTTTATACTTTCTCTTCTTAGCAAAGCTCGTCAGTTTCATCTATTTTCATTAGACTTTTTAAAGGAACAACTCTTGGTGCTATTGATTCTGTTTATTTCTATTTTCCATTTAATTATTATCTACTCTTATTTTCATTATTTTTTTTCCCTAAACTTTCTTCGGGTTTATTATTTTTCTAACTTGTTGAGTTAAATGCTTAGCTCATTAATTTGCAGCCTTTACCCTTTTCAGTGTAAAAGACTATAAATTTCATTTAAGAATTATTTTAGTAATAGTCCACAAGTTTTGATATGTACTATTTTCAATATTGCTCGGTATTTTATAATTTCCATTATGTTTTCTTTTTTGACTAATAAGTTATTTGCAAGTAACTATAAAAGATTCCAAAATTAAATATTTTTAAAGTAAATTTTTGTTACTAACTTCTAACTTAGTTCAACTGTTATTAGAGAACGGAATCTGTATAACTTTGAAATTTGTTGAGATTTGTTTTATGACCTTGTCTCTTGCCAGTTTTTATAAAGATTCCGTATGTGCTTGAGAATACTAATAGTTGTGTATGTCCATTAAATCAAGCTTACTGTGTTTCTGAATATCCTCTATATCCTTACTAATTTTTATAAATAGGACTGTAGAATTATCCATTTCTTTTTATATATCTGCCCATTTTTTTTTTTGCCATATAAATTTTGAGGTTTCATTATCGAGTACACATAAGACTGTTATGTCTTCCTAGTGATTTTTATATTTTATCATTATTTAGGGACCTCCTTTATTCCAGTAACTTTTTTGAGAGTCTTGTTCTATTTCACTGGCTATACCAGCTTTCTTTTCCCAAGTCTTTACTTTTAACTTTCGTAGGCCCCTGTGTTTTAGATTTCTCTCTCATTAACAGCATTAAAAAAATCCAGTCTGACAATACTTATCTTTTAACATTTTCATATAAATTTTTGACATAATTGAATTTTATTTTTACCATCTTCCTGTATTTTCTATTTATTTTTTCCCACTTTTTCTGATTTTCTTTTTTTAAATCAGGTTAACCAGTTTTAAAAAATTCCATTTTCTTCTCTATTGCTTTTGAAAATACATACTCTATTTCTATTCTTTTAGTAGTTGTCTTTAACACTTTAACACATATACTTAAAGCCTAAAGTTAATCACGATTTCTATCCTTCTCTTGAATAATTCAACACTCTTAAAATACTTTAATTCCAATTACCCACTTCCTATCTCTGACATATTAATGTTGTCCACTATTTCAGTTTTACCTTATCAGGACTGTGATTATGAACTCTCAGGGTGTTTTTCCTCCTCTTACCTCACCTACCAGCTGAGGTTAAGATAAATGAGATTTGTCTATTTTTGTCAGTGAGAAGATTTTTTTCTAAATTCCACTTTCACTGAAGGTGTAACTCATTCAGAGGCCCATCCTATGGGGAAGAATGAGATAGGCCTTTCAGTTCTAATTCCTGACTTTGTTTAGAATTTTGGCCCATCTCTTATATTATAGCCATTAAAACTTAACTATCTGGAATTCTAAAATTGGTAAAATGCTCCCAGGAGAGTTAACTATCTAGATCTTGAGTTTTTTTTTTTTTTTTTTTTCCCTCTTCCTGGGGATTTCCTTTCCTTCCTGAGAGTTCAGTCATTTAGTTAAAGGTTTTTGTTACATTAATGTAACATTTCTAATTGTCTCTATATTATTTTTGAGGGTATCTAGTCTTAAATGTTACCAGAAATTAGAATTTCAGTTTTTGAAAATGTTTCTCCCTTGATGTTAGGTATAATTTTGGGAATCAAATAATAGTTGCCAATGCCAAATAATTAACTACAGTCAAGAGTCATTTAGAAACTCAAAATGTTTAGGATTTGTCAAAATTACTCTTCTTTCATAGAACTATATTATCATATAAATCACTTCACTTAATGAAGTGAATAAAATAATTTAAATTCCATTTAGAAACGGCAAAGTGGAAAAAAGTGTACATTGAGTATTTTACTTCTTATTCTAGAATTTGGAAAACTCAATCATAATCTACTGAAAAATAACTTCAAATGCTATCAAAGTACCTGAAATGGTAATTGTAGATATGGGACTGGAGAATAGCAGTAGAATAAGAGCGGAAGAAAAGGTGGATCTTACAGAATAATTTCAATATTTTGAAAAGGGCTGAGTCTCAAATTTTTGGGTATCTGGATAGCTTCATTCATTCAAAAAGTATCTATTAAGCACCTATTCAGTGCTATTCTGGAAGATGCCAAAATATTAAAAGAAAATCCTTAACTGGCAGTAGCAGGGAAGTATTAGACGGGCACCCAAATAACATAAATGGGTACACAAATAGCTAACTATGCAAGACTGGGTGTGATAAATGGCATAAGATTAATACAGTAGCTGTTATCTCTCCATCTTCCCTATATTCCATTGCTAAATCTCGGCAGGCGTATTTGGTTCCTGTAAGAGTTTCTCCTTTCTCCCTTCAAAATGTTAATCCTATGCTTTTAATTCTACCCTCACCTATAAAATATTTTGTTTTTTTAGTCTTTTTGTAAGTTCAAGATCTTGCTCTCTCCTCCACTTAAAAATATGCACAAGTCTCCTCAATTTAGTTACTAAAAGGGTACATGTTTCTGTCAGTCACAAATTTCTTCAGGTAAAAGGGTTAACCTGTGGTTTCCACTATGTCACCTCCTACCCTTATTCTCAACATTTTAAAAGCTGACTTCTCCCTCGTCAACTTTACTCAAATAGTATTAACACTTTCATAGGTTATCAACAGTCTCCTACACTGTTAAATCTAGTATTTTCTTCTTCTCTTTGGCTTTTGTAGCCACTGATACTACTGACCACATTGATAACATTTTCTATCTTAGCACCTGTGGTACCATACCATCCTGGCTTTCCTCCTATATTTACGTTCATTCACTCTGTGTCTCCTCTTTCTCCCCATCCACCCCCAAATGTTGATATTCTTCAGGTTTCAGCTGCTGCCCTCTCTTTTTCTTGACAAGCTTTCAATAGTAGATGACCTACAGATGCTTAGACTATCAACTTTCTTCTTTAGATGAACAGCTCCCACCTGTGACTTCGCTTCCAATTACCAGATCTGTTTTTCTGTCTGGATGTGGATTAGTCTTCTAAAACTCAAAATATCTAAACAGAACTCACCATCTTCCTCAAAAATTGGCTCCCTTTCTCAACTTATTTCTGTTACTAGTACCACCATTCTTCCAAGTCCGAAAATTATCTTTGATTCATTTTGTTCCCCATCCTCTAATCTGTCACCAATTCTGCTGACAGATCCTTTGTAATCTCTCTAATCTGTTATTCACCTGAGCTACACAAACATTCATCTGCACATGAAGTATTCCAGGTGCTGAAGAGCGGAATAAGCCTTTCTTGTGTAGGCATTCACAGTTTAGTTTTAATAAACAAACCAACAATTATAATACACAGGGATAAAAAATTAGAGGCACTTATTTCATACCTGGACTACGGCAATAGCTTTCAAACTGACTTAACTGCTTCTAGTCTCTTCCTCTTTAGCTTTCAGATGTCTTTCTAAAAAACTATTTTGATCATATCTTCTTGGTCAAGGATCTTTCATTCTTCTCTATGGCTTTCAGCCTGTCATAAAAGGTCTTACACAGTCAGCTTCCAAACCCTTCAAATATTATCTCTCGTTACTTCTTTACATGAACTCTGCATTCTTTTCAAGACAGTTTGCTCATGGATGTGAAATTATTTAATATTCCTTGTGATACTGCTGTCATACAGAAAACCCCACCATTTCCACAAAAATCTTTTAGGATTCAGACCAAATCCTATCTCTGTACAGTAATCTTCAATGTTTTTAAATCAAAAGTGATGTCCCTTCTTCAAACTCCTAGAGCAATTTTTACCTAGATAAATAATTTCATAATTAGAAACTGCCTTATTTTCATTTTCTCCATTGTTGTCTGAATTACCATTTAATTTTTATTTAAAACTCTATACCTCTCACAAGCAGCTTTATCTTGTACTTGGTCTGCATCCAGCCACAGCACCTAGCAGCGTCTAGAACATTGTCTTTTTTTTATAAGAAAGTTTTGAAACAATGGCAGAGTTTTAAAAACCTGAATTTAGAAAGCTGAGCTTGAACACTGCTGACAGAAGAAACATGGTAAGAAAGGGCAGTAATTGTTCCAGAGACCGGCAGTAAATCAATTTGGTTGGCATGGAGGCTTGGGGGTTTTCTCCTCTAAAATGAATAATAGAATGTCAGGTGTGAACGGCCAAATTAAGTTCCATAGTAAGGTGTTTTAAATTTATCTGATAGGTGATGAAGAAACCATGGAAGGTTTTTGAACAGATTAGTAACAATGCACAGTTGTATGAAGTTTCATCAAACCAGCAGTGAGCTGTGTTAATGGGAAGGCCTGAACATCAGTTAAGTGGTTACTGTACAAAAGTTAAATAGTAGATCCTAATCAGCACAAAGTACTTTTCTTGCATCTCCTCTTCTAGAGGGAAATCTGCCTTAAAATTCCTTAGGCAAAGAAAGCATAATTTGATAGGTACCAAGAGACACAGCATCTCTAGGTTCTACTCATCCTACATTCACCACAAAGCAGATTTAGTTTTCTCGTCTTTCTCTTGGCATCTTCATTGGGAAAAACATGTTGTCATTAGGGAAATTACATTAGCAGGTAACTATCACAAGCTATATCTCAGATAGTTTTGCTCCTCATTTCTGTGGAGGAGCTTAGTAAAATTCCTGTTTATCCACAGATAGAGGTGATTGCTACCTATGGTCCAAAGAGAGGTTCAATCCTAAAAATAAGATTTGCTGACTTTCAGAGCTTAGCACTGCCACAGCAGAGCATGGGATACATCATTGTCTATTCACTCAGCAACTAAACTTATTATAGCCCTCGAGCGGAATCAGAACTCTGACTTACCTATTTTTTTTTTTTTTTTTTTGAGACGGAGTTTTCGCCCTTGTTACCCAGGCTGGAGTGCAATGGCATGATCTCGGCTCACCGCAACCTCTGCCTCCTAGGTTCAGGCGATTCTCCTGCCTCAGCCTCCTGAGTAGCTGGGATTACAGGCACGCGCCACCATGCCCAGCTAATTTTTTGTATCTTTAGTAGAAACAGGGTTTCACCATGTTGACCAGAATGGTCTCGATCTCTTGACCTCGTGATCCACCTGCCTCGGCCTCCCAAAGTGCTGGGATTACAGGCGTGAGCCACCGCGCCCGGCCCACCTATGTTTTTATCTATAATCTAAAGGTTCCATTAGGTGAATAATTGGGAATTGACTACCCAGAAGTCAACATCATAATTTATAAAAATTTGCATTTTTTCTTCTAAGCAAGTTCTAACATTCTTTGTCTTTATTATCTCCATTTATCCATCTGTGGATAAATAGGAATTTGCTAATTCCCCTAATCAGAAGATGGGGCAGGGATGGGTTGGGGCACTACTGTAGCACTTTTTATTTACTCATCTTTATTAATCAAATTCATTTTAGGGACAGTGGGATAATGCCCTCCCCACAAAAAACTAAGAGATAAAAAATTAATCTTGAGGATAGATAATTAGAATTCATAAAGGAATGCCAGAGCACAGAAAATATGTTTAATGATAGCTCTACCTTCCTTTTCCATAATGCAGTAGGGTCTAAGTGGTTGGTTTTACTTAGGGATATCTGTATTTGTTTTCTTCACTGATGTTTCCCTGTGTGTACGTATGCATGTGTCAGGGGAGGGGAATGGGAAGCAACTAGAATGAGATAGGCTTCACAGAAATAAAGGCTTAACACATATTTCTTAAAGTCATCCAAATGCCCAAGATAAATAAGGCCATGAAAAACAAATTAAGAGCTGGGTTAATATCTAAACATATGTACCTAGGAAGACCTGATTACAGTGACCCTTTACATCTAAACTGCAAGAAAACAAAAACAAAAAAAGAAACAACAACAATAAAAAAAAAAAAACAGAATTGAAAAATAAACTTAGGCTAAATATAAGAAAGATTTCAAATAATAGTAGAGATATCTTTTGGACTGGCAGAAGACTATCCATAGGTCATATAGAATATTCATGAGGAATAAATTAGAAAATTAGAAGATCAACTGAATTTTGTCCATTTATAATAAAGGCATACTTATATCTAGGTAAAAAGGATATAAATTTATAGAAAAGATAAATTTGGAGGCTATACCTAATCTAACAAAAGTATTCACAAATAGGTTTTTAAATTAGTATCAAGCTCTTCTATCACATTTAAGATATGATTGGATTTACAATCTAACTTTCCTAAGAATTTATTATATCAATAACCCCATGATAAACAATTGCTTTACTTAAAAATTTATTAGAAAGCATTCATAAATGCAAAGTTAAAATAATGGGAGGTCCCTGTGTCCTATTTTATACAATCAGTAGAAATCATATACAAACATTACAAATATTTCACACCTTGCATAAAAGCTACTTCTCGACTTGTACTTTGGCTTTTCATGCACACAAAGCCTACTCCCACTCTTACACAGCATGCCTCACCACTGTATTGAGAGTAAAGTAAAACAATAATATTATTTTGGTTGGCAAAAGTTGTCTAAATACCACAAACAGCTGGCCAGATGACATGGTAAGCCCTGAATGGAGCTAGCACTCTTTGTTAAGGCAAAGCAATCTCTCTCTTATTTCTCATAGCTAGTGTTGTGGCACTATTTCTATAGACATAAAATTCGAAAAGCAAATGACTTAAACATATTCCTTTTCTCCTTTTAAAAATACAAAAGTGGATTTAGAGAATTTGGGGTCCTATTCCCAAAAGTAAGAAAAGTTCGGAGAATAAAGGGTTAAAAGAACAAGCAAGCCCTACCGTACCCAGAAATGACAGAAGGCTCTTCTCTTCTTCGGTGCTACTATCCAACCACTCCGCCACATCACCGGGGGAAAGGAGACTCATTCTCCAGCCAGAAAACTTTTCCATACAGAGCACAATTACTGAATGATTAAGTGAGAAAAAAAGGATACAGAGACTAAATTCTTGGGGGTCCAACACTTAAATTGCTGGCTAGGCAGTAATGATGAAAGAGAAAATGTGATCCTCCCTCCACTCTGAATTCTGTCTCTGTGACATCAATCTAATACAACGGGGGGAGGGGGAAAGAAATAGGGTTAAAAGAAGGTGGTAGAAGAGAGGAAAAGGGAGATTTGTCCTTCTGTCTCTTGGTGTTATGCTTTAGTCTGAAAGAGAAAGCCAGGATAACACTGAATAATGAAGTGTGTTTAATGACAGGAAAAAGCATAGGAAAAATAAAGAATAAAGACACTCAAAGAAAAAGAAACAGGTTCCTACACTGGAAGCAGCTTAGATAACCAGACAGCACAATAGCTAATCAGTTAAGTAAAGCATATCAAACAAAAACAAAGACAAAAGAAGAAATTCAGCATTTTGTTTTGTTTTGAGGAGAAAGGTTTTCAAATATCCTTTCAGTCCTCTGCAAGAACTGCAGACCCCAACCCTTCCTGCTTTAGCTATTTCAACAGCCTCCTTTACGAAGATTTCCTGCAAGAAAAGGCAGGTTGATAAATCTGTGAATAGGAAGCTCTCATCCCTCCTTTCTTCTCCTCCTCCTCCATTCCTCCCCCCACCTCGCATGGCGACTGCACTGATCGACAATAATGGAATCTGTAACTGACTGCCAACAGCAGCATTAAGGATATTACAAGTCCACTTCATAAGAATTCGAGCTGGTGGTCGGAACTTGGGGCAATTCTGGGCTTCTAGTCAATAGCTGTCTTTCTTTGCAAGGAAAAAAAAGGAAGCAAGCGTGTGTGTGTGTGTGTGTGTGTGTGTGTGTGTGTAGAAGAAAGAAGGCTGAAATCGGAAAGAAGACAAGTAAGCTTGTTGGGCTGAAGGTACAGAGATCAACATAGAGAATGAGTGTTCTGTAACTCCTGTCATACACTGTCATTGTGAAGGAGTCAGATCCAGATGAATTTTTTACATCATTTACATTACATATTTACATGGTTTGACTTAAGATTATTTCACAGGTTTACACCTTACTGAAAGGCAGAGAAAAATCAAGAAGAGGTATGTTCACAGATTCATAAATCATTAATATCCTTGTTCTCTGGAGATTGATTAGGCTTGTTGCTAGGAGAAAACAATACTCTTAATAAAAGATAGAGCTTTTTTTCTCCTGCATTAGCAAAACGTTAGCTCTTTTCCTAAGAAACTGGTCTTTGCTTCTGTTCTTGTAGTCTGCTTTTAGTGAGATTCTCATTGCTTAAGAGTTACTACCTCCTTAACATATCCTGAATCTATAACCTTCTCTCCATGTTTATTTCAGTCTTCATTATTTTTAATCTACACTTGAGTTCATTCTGACTGTAAGTTCCATGAGGACAGGGACCTTGTTTTATATTAATCTTTATAATCCTAATGGCTAGAACAGTGCTTGACACTTAGATGGAGCTCATCAAATATTAACTGAAGTTTTAGATGGCTGCTCTAGAAGTTTTAACAGGTCCAACACTGGCAGGAGATCCCAGGCTAATTATTTTAAGACCTCATTTAAAAATTAACCATTTTGACAATTAAAAGTAGTTACAGTGACAGTACCACACACTTGAGAAAATAAAAATTGTCCAAAAATGTATTATGAATTCATATGTTTAAATGAGTTTCTATTACTCAAAATAAGTATAAAAAATTGAAAAGTAGTATAGAAAATAGGTGTAAAAGACATTTTATTGAAACCCACAGGCTATGCATGCTTAATAACTAAGCACAGACTGATAATTCTTTTGTAATAACTTCATGACACATCACTATCTCTGGAGCTCTGGCATTGGAAATCAGTAGCCTACAGGATTACATTCAAACTTCCTGATGTGACAATGCTTCTGCTTTTTCTCATCAGGGACCCCCAGCCTCCTCTAGGCTCAGCCATTCTGTATTACTTACCTCACTTCCATGCCTTTACATGTTCCACTGCAAGTGGCAGGAAAAAAGTCATTTGTTCATTTGTCTAGAACAACTAGACAACTGTTTTGTTTTGCTCAGCTGTCTAAAACATTCTCTGACACACAATAGAAGCTCAAAGATTTTTGTTGAATATCTTGAGTACCTCTTGTGTGGTATCACTCTATCATATAAATCTGACAATACTGAACTGTTCTATTGACACTCAGCTCAAATGTCACCTTTCCAGGCCTTCCTTGATATCTTAAGGTAGAATTAATGGCTCTCATCTCTGCATTTTCATTGCTATTACTATTATTTTATTGAAATTACTTGTTTACATAATGATTTTCATAAAATCAAAATTTTCATTCTACCAAGTTTTAACAAATTTTAACACTCAGCATATAGTTTTATAACTGTTTACTGAATTATTATAATTCCATGTATTGCAGATATTTAATACTAAAGAACCTCACATATTCCTGATTTAAGGATTCATACCATTGATCTTCACATTTAACAATCAAAATAATTTTGTTAAGGAAAAATTAAATCTCTTATTTATTTTAACAAAGAAAACACTGTATAGTTAGAAAGGTTATCAACATAATCCAGCCCTGCAAATTTGTCCTCTATAGACTAAGAGTTGAAAATAAGGCACCCAGGCGAGCCGCTGTGGCTCATGCCTGTAATCCCAGCACTTTGGGAGGCTGAGGTAGGCAGATCACTTGAGGTCAGGAATTCAAGATGAGCCTGGCCAACGTGGTGAAACACTGTTTCTATTAAAAATACAAAAAAACTAGCTAGGTATGGTGGCACACGCCTGTAATACCACCTACTTGGGAGACTGAGGCAGGAGAATCACTTGAACCCAGGAGGCTAATTTTTGTATTTTTTGTAGAGGTGGGGTTTCACCAGGTGTGGTGCCTCTTGGGAGGCACTTGGGAGTCTGAGGCATGAGGATTGCTTGAGCCCAGGAGTTTGAGGCTGCAGTGAGCTATGACTGTGCCACTGGGCTGAAGCCCGGGTGACAGAGTAGGGTCCTGTTTCTACGGGGGAAAAAAAGAAAAAATGCTTGACTATAATTTTCTACATAAAAAAGAAAATCCCATGCATTTTGGAAGTTTATTATGGTGCCTTATACGTATTAAGTACTTACTATTTATTCATTATTTACTCAAAAATATAGAAAGTATCTGGAGAATGCTTGGTGACTGACAGAGTTCTCATTTGAGGGCATTTGCATTTCTTGTGTATATGCATGTGTCTGTACATATGTGTATATATGCATGTGCTATTTACTGGGCTGCGATTTACTGTTTACTAGGCACTTCACTAAGTGGTTTATACACATTATCTCAGTTAAAATCCTTCATCAACAACCACGTGAGATAAGTATTCTATTCATTTTCCAGATGAGAAACCGAAAATCCTAGAACTTAACCTGTCCAACAGAATACAACCAGTCCAGGAAATGAAATTTAAACTTCTGAAGGTTTGCTCATGATTCTCCACTGTACTATTCCATATTCCACATAGACCAATTTAGGCAGGGGTCAGTAAACGCATTTTTTCTGTGGAAGGCCAGATGGTAAATATTTTGAGTTTTGTGGGTCATATAATCTGTTGCAACTACTTTAATGCTGCTGTTATAGCACACAGGCAACCAAAGAAAATACGCAGACTAATGGGCATGGCTGTGTTTCAAAACAAATTTATTTACAAAGACTGTGGCCATACTTAAGTGATTTAGGTCAGCACTGTCCATTCAGGCAACATATTTTCAGTACTTAATGTATGCCTGGATATCTACCAAGTCCTAATCATTGAAAAGTAAAATTATTACCTGCCTGGGGAAATACATTTTTATTTTCATTTTAATAACTGAATAACTGTTTTTATTATTTTAATTTCAAGACACAAACTATTGCTTTCCTTCTACTCCTTTAGTTTCATGGTCCCCCGAGATATTTAAATTTTTTTTTTTTTTTTTTTTGAGACAGAGTCTTGTTCTATAGCCAGGTGCCAGGCTGGAGGGCAGTGGCGCAATCTCACCTCACTGCAACCTCTGCCTCCTGGGTTCAAGCAATTCTTCTGCCTCAGCCTCCCAAGTAGCTGGGACTATAGGTGCATGCCACCACACCCAGCTAATTTTTGTATTTTTTAGTAGAGACAGGGTTTCACCATGTTGGCCAGGATGGTCTCAATCTCTCGAACTCGTGATCCATCCACCTTGGCCTCCCAAAGTGCTGGATTACAGACGTGAGCCACCATGCCCAGCCGATATTTAATTTTTATTTTGATAAAGGGACATAAAATATGTAGCCCCTTCTTCAATTACTTAGCATTCCTGATTTTTGTTATAGCTGCCTGTACTTACACTTTCACATTCATTCATTCAACAATGTAAGCGCTAATATGTGCCAAGCACTATTTTAAGCCCCAGCATACAGTTGTGAACAAAAGCAACAAAATCTCTGCCCTCATGGAGCTTATATTTTATGGGGAAGAGAAACAGTAAGATAAAAAAGTAAAATATATATTGTGTTAGATGGTAAATAATGCCAAGGAGAAGAGTAAAGCAGAAAAGGGAGACACGTAATTTGGGGGAGGTTTACAGTTTCAGAGAGAGTAGCCATAGAAAGCCTTGCTGAGAGGTTGACATTTGACTAAATGGTTAAAGGTGGTGAGTTTTAGGAAGAGGGAACTACTAATAAAAGGGCTGGAGGCAAGAACAGCCAGGAGGCAGTGCAGCTAGACTGGAATGAGAGGGGAAAAAATAAAAGGAGATCAGACTGTGGAGTAATCAGACTGTGGAAGCTGGATCACATAATGTTAATGTATTTGGCTTATCTTTAATTAGATAGGAAGACTCCGAGACAAGAGATGGGCAAAGTTTTACTTATTAAAAATAAGAGCTTTACTGTATAATTCACAAATTATAAAATTCATCATTTTAAAGTGATTTTTAATACATTCACAGTTACGTAGCCATGACTACTATTTAATTACAGAACATTTTCATGGCCCATAAAAGAAACTCTGTGTCCATTAGCAATCATTCTGTATACTTCCCAGCCCTAATCTAACAATTACTAATCTAAGTTTTGACTCTATGCATTTGCCTATTCTGAACATTTTATACAACTGAAATTATATAATATGTGGTCTTTTATGCTTGGTTTCTTTTACTTAGGTTCATCCAAGTTTTATTGAGTACTTCATTCCCTTTTATGGCTGAAAATATTCTATTAATGGACATTTGCGTTGTTTCTACCTTTAGGTATTATAAGAATCCTGCCATGAACAACTTGTATACAAGTTTTTGTGTGGAAGCCTTATAATTTAAAAGGATATCCAAATCTGGGGTGTTTTTTTGGGGGGGGTACAAAAAAATTTTTAAATGTGATAGATGAGTGTTATCTTCTGATTTTATAATCACCATATTTTCTTCCTAATTCCTCTGAGATTTCTACCCTTCTTGAAGAAACCAAAACCACTGACTCAGTCTCCTTCCTCCTGCTCTAGTATTCTTGCACACAGGAAAAGATTAATGCTAGATAATCAAGAATGAACAATGGCAAGTAATAAATGATCTTTTCCTAAACTGAGAGCTAAAGTTGGTGGAGATGTTTTAATACTTTATATAAACAGTATAAGAAACTCCTGAATATCTTTTTTCTAGATTTATCGACTGTTCACATTTTGCCACCTTTGCTGAATCACTCTGTATATATTTTTGTTATATGTATGCAATTTTCTTGACTCATTTGAGGAAGCTGGAGACATTATGCCCTTTACCAGCAACTGTTTCAATGTGTATTTTCTAAAATAAAGGACATTCTCTTACAAAACGAAAAACGATTAAAATCAGAAAACTTAACATTGATGTTGGTTGACATTTTAAGGATAAAATTAAGTATGCTACTCTATGCATAATCTACTATACAAATTCTATTTCAATATCATAAAAAAGCATTTATTTGAAAAACAAAGTGTCTTCAAGCAATAGTGACTGAGAAATCATATGTACTGATTGCAATATAATTCAAAGTAATAATCTAAATTGTATTAAAATAATGCCTCAAATTTTTGGAGGATTTCTACGGAACTTATGGATATTCAGTATACTATTGTGATAAAGAACTGGAAGTGGCCAGGCACAGTGGCTCATGCCTGTAATCCCAGCACTTTGGTAGACCAAGGTGGGTGGATCGCCTGAGGTCAGGAGTTCAAGACCAGCCTGGCTGACATAGTGAGTACTAAAAATACAAAAAGTTAGCTGGGCTTGGTGGTGCATGCCTGTAATCCCAGCTACTTGGGAGGTTGAGGCAAGAGAACTGCTTGAACCCAAGAGGTGGAGGTTGCATTGAGCCGAGATCGTGCCATTGCACTCCAGCTTGGGCAACAAGAGTGAGACTCCATCTCAATAAAATAAAATAAAATAAAATAAAATAAAAGGCAAGTAGAGGATAGATACAATGATTACATTTCTATCTTGATACTCCTTTGTACATGTACAATACTTCTCTTCAAATAAGTTTAAAGTAACTATCAAACTATAATGTTCCTTGTATTTTAGGAGATATAGTATTATATGATCATCTAAGGTATCATATGATTAGAGCTGATGAAACGAATGAAGCTAAGATGAATTTTCATTTATCTAGATTTAGGAAGCAATACTTTAGACATGCAAAGCCACAGAGTAACAAGGATGTTAATATCAGAAGAGGTATTCCCATCATATGAATATTTAATATATACATAGAAGGTGCTTTAATTTCAGTGAAAAAGGGTATCAAGATATAAAGTAATTTTATAAAGCAAGGTAGTCAACAGTATTATAAAACATGTGCTCATGTTTTAGCTTTGCCATTCAAAGCTAAAGGCAGATTCTGTTTAAAGATGTTAATGACTATCCAGAATGAAAGATAATCAGATTCTTTAAACACTAAAGCTATTCTTCTAAGGAAAAAAATGTAAATAAAGTGACAGCTGTTGTTAATGAACAGATAACTCCTTCTCCAAAAGACCCAGAAAGTAGCTAATATATAATTATTCTTGAAACATTTTTTCTCTAATATAAAGTTAAAATTTACATTTTACTCATAGTGTATATAATTCTTGGAGTCTATCACTTTTAGCATCTAAAAAAATCAAGCAAATAGTAGCTACCTAATATTTATTGAGTAGATGCATAGATGTATATATAAACCCAATATATCTATGATTAGCAGTGCTCTGTAAGTAAACTGAAAATCATTCGGGTTTTAACATCTCCTGCAATTTATCTCTAGGCCTAGCAATAATCTGAATACTTGTATCAACAATAATAGATCAAATGTATTCTGTATTTACAATGTACTAGGTAGTACGTGAAGTGCTATTAACCTCTCATTTACTCTTCATAGCAACCCTGTAAGGTTGTAGTAACATTTTCCCCATTTTACAGGTTGGAAAACTAAAGTTTAGAGAAAATGAAGGTTTAGAGAAGTGACGAAGTCATACAGTCAGTACTGGAGGTTGGGTGGAGGACTCAGATATTCTTATTCCACAGCTGACACTCAGAACCACATTCCATATTGAAATTTCTTGTACAACATTTTTAGATATTGTGGGTGAGGTATGAAGGGTGAAGGTGAACAGTTATTTAATGAGAAGCAAAACTCTTTTCCATGATCAGTGATTTGAGACACTACAACAGAGTTAAGTAAATTGTGTAAGAATCCAGAGAGTCAGTGGCAAAACAAAACGGCCAGACCCCATAGCTTCTAATATGAAGAAATGGAAAAGTCAAGTTGAATTTTATAGCATATGGATGTTTGTTTTACTCCTTTTCACCAATAAATAATGTTTATAGTCTGATTGTTTTTCACAAGTATCTCTTGAAAAGATTTCACTGAATTTGAGTCAATGCCGGGCACATAGTAAGTGCTTGATATTTGTTAAATGAATGAAAATTTTCCATACCTGATCAGGGCATTTAACATGGTTATTTGCTTCTATGAACATTTAATGAGGCTGTTTAATGCTTTGACAAATTTACCATTGCTAATTTTACAATGAAAACTATGTAAATTTTTATCCATCATTTTAAGTGGTGTCTTTAAAGTAAAGGAATGCAACGTGTTTAGAGAGGGAAATACAGCATTTGGTAGTTTTAACAGAAAAATCTAACATTGGACATGTGGTACCAGATAAAAGTTAATAGCTTTTTGCACAGCAAAGAAAACAATCAACAAAATGAAAAGGAGGCCTACAGATTAGGAGAAAATATTTGCAAACCATGTATCTCATAAGGGGTTAATATCCAAACTATATAACAACTCAATGCCAAAAAACTGAATAACCTAATTTAAAAATGGGCAAAGAAGAAAAGAACCTGAATAAACATTTCTCAAAAGACATAAAAATGGCCAGAAGGTATATAAAAAGATGCTCAACATCATTAATCAGGGAAATGCAAATCAAAAGCACAATGAGATATTACCTCCCACCTTTTAGGATGGCTATTATCACAAAGAAAAGAGATAACAAGTGTTAGTAAGAGTGTGAGGAAAAGGGAACCCCTGTATACTTTTGGTGGAAATGTAGATTTGTGCAGCCACTGTGGAAAACAGTATAGAGGTCTCTTAAGAAATTAAAAATAGAACTAGCATTGACCCAGCAATCCTCTCTCTTCTGAGTATCTACCCAAAGGAAATGAAATCACAATCTTATAAAAATATCTGCATTCCCAAATTCATTGCACCATTATTCATAATATAAGTTATGGAAACAACTGAAATGCCTGTTGATGAGTAAAGAAACTGTGTGTATGTGTGTGTGTGTGTGTAATGAAATATTATTTATCCTTTAAAAAGAGATCGTGCCATTTGCAAAAACACAAACGTACCCAGAGAACATTATGCTAAGTGAAATATGCCAGACATACAGAGAAAAACACCGCATTATCTCACTTATATGTGGAATTAAAAAAAATAAATAACTGCCAGGCGTGGTGGCTCATGCCTGTAATCCTAGCACTTTATGAAGCCAAGGGGGTGTGGATCATGAGGTCAGGAGTTTAAGAGCAGCCTGGCCAAGATGGTGAAACCCCATCGCTACTGAAAATACAAAATTAGCTAGATGCAGTGGCAGGCACCTGTAATCCCAGCTACTTGGGAGGCTGAGGCAGGAGAATTGCTTGAATCTGGTGGGGTGGAGGGTGCAGTGTGCCGGGATAGTGCCACTGCCCTCCAGCCTGGGTGACAGAGTGAGACTTTGCCTCAAAAAAAAAAAATCCATAATGAAAAATAAAAAAAAAACGAGTACACAGAAACAAAGAGCAGAGGAGCAGTTACCTGGCACAGAGAAAATGGGAAGAATTAGGTCAAAGGGTACAAAGTTGCAGCTATGTAGGCTAAAGCTAGAGATCTAGTGTACAACATGAGGACTATGGTTAATAATATTGTATACTGGAAGTTTCCAAGGGAGTAGATTTTAGACACTCTTGCCACAAAGGAAAAGAGAAAGGAAGAGAGGAACAGAGGGAGGAAGAAAGGGAGGGAACTATATGAGACAGACATGTTAATTTGCTGTCTTTAGTAATCATTTCACTATGTACATCAAAGCCTCATGTTATAGAGCTTAAGACATATACAGTAATCCCTTTGTATCACTGAGGGATTGGTTCCAGGACCTCCTACAGACACCAAATCCATGGATGCTTAAATCCCTGATAAAAGACAGCATAGTATTTGTACATATCTATGTACAAGCTTCCATGTACTTTAAATCATCTCCAGATTACTTGTAATACCTAATACAATATAAATGATATATAAATAGTTATTATACTGTATTATTTAGGGCAGGGGTCTCCAATCCCCAGGCCATGGACCAGTACTGGTTTGTGGCCTGTTAGGAAGTAGGCTGCATAGCAGGAGGTGAGTGGCAGATGAACAAGCATTACCGCCGGAGTTCACCTCCTGTCAGATCAGCGGTAGCATTACATTCTCATAGAAGCACATACCATATTGTGACCTGCGCATGTGAGGGATCTAGGTTGTGTGTTCCTTATGAGAATCTAATGCCTGATGATCTGTCACTGTCTCCTGTCACCCCAGATGGAACCATCTAGTTACAGGAAAATGAGCTCAGGCTCCCACTGATTCTACATTATAGTGAGTTGTATTATTATTTCATTATATATTACAATGTAGTAATAATAGAAATAAAGTGCACAATAAATGTAATGTGCTTAAATCATGCCAAAATCACTGCCCCCTCCACTCCCTCCTGTCCATGGAAAAATTGTCTTCCACGAAACCAGTCCCTGATGCCAAAAAGGTTGGGGACCACTGGTTTAAGGAATAGTGATGAGAACAAAAGTCTGTACATGTTCAGTACAGATGCAAGTTTTTAAAACATATTTTTGATACATGGTTCATTGAATCCACATATGTAGAACCCACAGATGTGAAGGGCGAATTGTTTAATTAGAAAAAGCTAATGGGTACTAATAGGTATGGAGAATGTATACAGTATTACAGAAATGTTTTGGCAAATCAATAAAAGTCAAGGGTTTACACATTTTTTTTTACATTAAAAACCACAACTATCAAAAATGTTTAATATATTTATCATCTGGATTCTTATAACACTGTATCTAGGTGTATCCAGAAAACATCTCTGATTGAAAAACAAATACCACAATCAATTCATTAAGTTCCTCCTGGTTAGTATTTGAATCTGTTGTAAATTGGGCTGTAGTTGGACAAAACAGTTGCATCAACAGATATGTAAATCATGCTCCATTTTATCTTAAATGAGTTTAAATGGAGAACTATTTTACAGAACTACATTATTACCTACCTAAGAAATTCATTAACATTACAATTAACACATAACATTCGTGGAATATAGAGACAAATTAGAAAAAGATTCGTTCTCAAGAAGCTCATGGTCTATATACTTAATATTATATCAATAGAAAATTTAACTTCATATCTCTAGTATATTTAGTCATAAATGATATACATGGGTAGCAAATCTATAAAGTAAATATTAGTGAAGTATACTTTTCCTTATTTCAGATTAAAAACCAAAGGGATAAAAGCTCTATTATTTTCTTCCCACCCACACTTACAAATCAAGGAACACCAAACAATGCCAGCAACCCACTGAAAGCAGGGTGAAAAGGCATGCAACAGATTTGTTCTCACAGCCCTCAGAAGGAAACAACCCCGTTGATACCTCCTAACCTCCATAACCATGAAACAATACATTTCTGTTGTCTAAGCCACCCAGTCAGTAGTTCTTTGTTATAGCAGCCCTGGTTAAAAAAAACCCTGACCAAGGTACTGCAGTGGAGCAGCCTGTAACCTTGCTGACTGTAAGAACAAGAATGCAAAGGAAAGATATAGTTGATTGATTACTATGAGCTAAGTAGACACCAAAAAAAAGAACCAGGTCTATATGCTGGATCTCCAACACCAAAGAACTGCAGTGGGGAACTCCCTGTGGGCCCCTATGAAGAGTCTGAACCCTTCTACCCTAAGAGAACCAGCACTGGAACACACGCAGAAGGCATTCAAATTCATGGCCAATGTTAGCTAGAGAAGCAGCAATAACCAATAGAGGCTTGTAATTGCATGTCTGGCTAAGTAAAAACGGTGGCAAAAACCAGAATGCTTTTTCTTCAGTCCTGTCTCCCTACTCCAATGCCAGAGGGATTAGAAATTGAAGAGGGTAGAGCAGAGGTGGAGAAGAAAAAGAACTGGCTGGATATTTCCGACTCCATGGTGAGGGTGAGGGGTGGAGTTAAATAGGATATGAGATAAAATTTTAATCAAGTAGATTAAATTAACTGTTTAATTACTGAAAGTAAAGTAAAAAACTATTGGTTCCCCATCATAGAGATCAGCTTTTTCTAGCAGTGACAGCACAACTGTGGGTGAGAACTGGGGAAAATGAAACCCCCACCCTTCACCCCTTACAACCAGAGGCAGACTCATGTTGTGGGGCCTGAAGCTTATATAATTTGTGAGTCCATATTTTTAAAAAACCCACAAAATTGCAAACACAAATTTTTTTTTTCTTCTATCATTTATTAAGGCCTCATACACTAAAAAGATCTTACGGTTTGGGGTCAACAGAGGCTGCTGTGAGACAGAGAAAAGAAATTAAATCAACAACGGTGACATGAAAGGTTTATCAAAGATCTACAGTCATTTGTAGCAAAATCAAAGTTCACCATCATCATCTGACTATGGCATAGAATAAATGGTAGCAAGATGCTGCCTTGCTTTCCTTAATTGCATCTTCGTTTTTCAACAGTCATGTATTTAGTTGGCATGAAGAGAGACCCCAAATTTTTCCACACATAGTTAATAAATAATAAAAATATAAATCTGTTGGGAAAATCCACAGTGATGTTTTGTAAAATGAAAGTAGATAAGCAGATAAGGGCAAGGTGAGTATGCTGGATGACAAAACACAAAAATTCTAAGTCTGAAAATATTGCAAAGAACAAATTTCTGTTTCCAGTGACCTGATATATTTAAGTTTCCTGGCTTTACTTTTGTGCCTTGGGAGAAATAAATATTTTAATATAATATTATGACACTGTATTAAGAGATTAAAAGATAAAAACAAAATGATTATATCAATACATGTAGAAAAGGCTGACAACATCCTGTACCCCTTCTGATAAGAAATCTCAGAATGCAGGAAGATTTGTAAAGGATCCAAAATTACAGCTAGATAAGAGAATTTCTAGTGCTCTATAACACTGTAGGATGCCTATAGTTAACAAAAATATAATGTATAGCTCCAAATAGCTAGAAGGAGGATATTGAATGTTCCTAAGTGGAAGAAATAAT